TGGCTCTTACACATTAAATGAAATAACATATAAAACTACTTGCACTAATAATGGCAGAGAGGAATAATAGGAGTGTTGATTGCATATTACATCCTTCAAACCTGGAATTAATCATGATACAAGTGGTTAACTGATCAAACAACAATATAAACATTTACCAAAGCTAATAGTCTATAAATGTGGATTACACAGCAGTTCTTTGACTGTAATAATAATAATATGGACATTCTGGATGTCATGTAGTGTGTGTTACCTCGTGTGAAGGATGCTGACAGTATGGTCACATGAAGGACATTGTCTTAAAATCTACATGTTACATTTCAAACATTCTATGGGATAGAAGTTTAGGATTAAACTATTGCATAGGAACATCTCATGAGTTACAGAACAGCTAGATATTTAATTTTACATTCTTCCTCAGATCTGTGTCTGTGAAGAGAGTTCTGCTGGTCACTACCCAGGATTGGAATGTGGGTTGTAGTTTATGACTCTTATCTAGAAAGGGGCAGAGGAAGGGAGGTTGGTGTGTGTGTGTGTGTGTTTGTGTGTGTTCATGCATGGCACAGAGAGGCCAGGATTCACACTTTAGTGTTAATCAGTCCTTTTGTTGTTACTGGTCCTATATAAGAACAATCAAATATCATTAGACAGAGTCTTATTGTTACAAACTGGAGATTTTGCCTATATTCTCCAGTTGCCTGGTGTCCATTGGTTAATCCTCTGGAGCTGACCCTTTGACCTTTGGTCTGGTTCTGTGTCGTTCGGACATGCTAACAGCATGGTCTGTTTGTGGAAGAGGGATCCTATGTCTCTGTTTCCTATCAATGTGATAGTTTGATAGTGGGAAGAGTCGCAAAGTGTCAGTTGTGGGTCTGTAACTCTGCATGTCCTTAAAATGAACTTCCTTAATGGCTTGTGACTGATGCCAGGCCACGTATGTACGCTACACCTGATAACACCTGAGGACATCAGCCAATAACATCTGAGCACAGCTGTCAAAAGTTCCTGCTTCAACAACATAATCAAGGACATGAGTGTAATAAGTCTGGAGGAGACACAGCTCATGAGCAGCTGTGTGGTGCAGTAACATGTACATCACACACAACAGAATTCAATACAGACACTGTAACATGTCTCATCTGAAAACAGCTTTAAAGTGTCTGTAAGTGAGACCAGGCTGTCTGACCTCAGTGCTTAAATATCAGTATATGATTTTCCCTTTCAACTCTCCTCTGGATTAATTATTTTTCAGTGGTCATCTTCATGCTGAGTGAATGAACACACTGAACACATTTATTTTGAAAAGACAGTAATGGATGATATCATCTCCTCTTATTTTTTAATTCTTATGAACGTGATATCTCAGTAACACCTGGAGGGAACTTATTCAAATTTAGCACAAACATTCACTTAGTCTCAAGGATGAAGTGACTAAAATTTGGTGGTCAAAGATCAAAGGTCAAAGTCACAGTGAATTCACAAAACACATCTTTGGCCATAACTCCTGAATTCATATGGCACAAATGTCTTAAAAGATAAATGATGAAGTGATGGCATTTTGTAGCCAAAAGGTCAAAGGTCAACTTCACTGTGAAATCATAATGTTCTGAAAAACACCTCTGGCCATCATTCAACAATGTAGCTGTGTCTCAATCCAGAGGTCTCATGAAAAACACGGGAGGCCAACAGCTGGATCCTTCATGGCCCAACCTATCCCAAGAACTGGGCCACAGCTAATAACTCAGGAAGGACAGAGTGGGACCATATTTTCTGATACTTAACTGATTGAGTAAACAACCATGACGTGGTAATTCTAGTTGTTTTGTGCAGTGCTGTCAAACCATGACACAGAAAGAGCCATAGTACGAAGACTGTTTGTGTCAGGAGGTTGCACTGTAAGACCAAACATGAGGAAAGGGGAGAAATAAGAGACAAAAGAGGCCATTTCATTTACCTGTGTGCACATGAACAGGTGTCACCAATAAGACAGGAAATGTTTTTCAGTATTTAAAGACTCTGCACACTCACACAGGTGTTTGAGTTAGAGTGGCGGATTAGACAAATGAAGGAATTACTGTATGTTCCGTCACCAGGCAAATAGACCTGTGCTGTCACCAGGCAAATACACCTTTTTCACAGCATGTGTCAAAGCAGAAAAAGCACAGATGTAGTTACTAAAATTGATGATGGCATATGCTAATGCTATATTCCATTTAGGGCCCATTCCAAGGTTTGGTGTTGGTGGTATTGTGGATGCTGGTTCACTGTAGAGGCCTCCAGGGATACATAACAGACAGAGTCATCATCAGTGTCAGTAGTTCATCCAGCCTTCTCCTCAGTGTGTGACAGGTGGCTCTGTGCCACTGGAGCGTCAGACGTGTGATGCTTTATGAACCTGCCATGCTCATGCACAGCTCAGCATTAGAATCAATCTGTTCCTGGTATCATCTGTAAACAGGTGATTGGTGTCTTTCTTCACATGTGTCACATGTAATAATAATAATATGGACATTCTGGATGTCATGTAGTGTGTGTTACCTCGTGTGAAGGATGCTGACAGTATAGTCACATGAAGGACATTGTCTTAAAATCTACATGTTACATTTCAAACATTCTATGGGATAGAAGTTTGGGATTAACCTATTGCATAGGAACATCTCAACAGCTAGAGAACAGTTAGATATTTAATTTTACATTCTTCGTCAAATCTGTGTCTATGAAGAGAGTTCTGCTGGTCACTACCCAGGATTGGAATGTGGGTCGAAGTTTATGACTCTTATCTAGAGAGGGACAGAGGAAGGGAGGTTGGTGTGTGTGTTCATGCATGGCACAGAAAGGCCAGGATTCACACCTTAGTGTTAATCAGTCCTTTTGTTGTTACTTGTCCTATACAAGAAACAATCAAATATCATTAGACAAAGTCTTATTGTTACAAACTGGAGATTTTGCCTATTTCTCCAGTTGTCTGGTGTCCATTGGTTGATCCTCTGGAGCTGACCCTTTGACCTTTGGTCTGGTTCTGTGTCATTTGGACATGCTAAAAGCATGGTCTGTTTGTGGAAGAGGGATCCTTTGTCTCTGTTTCCTATCAATTTGATAGTTTGATGGTGGGAAGAGTCGCAAAGTATCAATTGTGGGTCCGTAACTCTGCATATCCTTATAATGAACTTCCTTAATGGCTTGTGGCTGATGCCAGGCCACGTATGTACGCTACACAGTCCAGAGCCTGAACACATCTGAACTTCAGCTGCTGCTCTGTTCCCCCTGTGTGGACATGATGTTACACAATGTAAGGTAAAACGGTCCAAGGTTTCAACAGTTCAGGTCTCATTGACCTCACAGTGTCAGGTAGTGGTTCTCTGTTTAGCTTCTGTTATCACTGATAGTGCCCCTCCAGAGACACTACTATCCTTCATTGCTAGGGTAACCAAGGTCTCATATGTAAGGTAGTAGAGAGAAACATACACTTAGAGAGAACTACCCAAATCAATTCCAGTCAAGGTTTAAGTAATTGGGTAAGAACATGTAACAGTGACCAATAGAGTCTTCACACACACAGGTTTAGACTATAGTTTGATCTAATTTGGAGTATATATTTATATATATATATGTGTAAATACATGTCAGACCAGATGTCTTCAGGAGGTTGGTGAGAACTGCTCTCATTCACTGCTGTCATTGTTCTGCTCATCACTTTCTCTGCAGCGCCTCAAGCTGTTAGTTAATACTCTGCATGGAGTGGTCTCTGGTCGTCAGTTGCTGACGCTGCCGACTGACCAAAACATCAGTGTGTGTGTGTGTGTGTGTGTGTGTGTGTGTGTGTGTGTGTGTGTGTGTGTGTGTATGTGTCTGTTTGTGGTGTGTGCGTGTTTACCTTTCATTCACTTTGTGAAATCAGTATTCCTCTTTCACCATAACCTGATTCAGTCCCCTATTTTCCTGATTCAACATAAACTAATTATTATTTCTTTATTCCTAATTTACTTTAACAAATAGTGATAAAAACTCAAAGTGTAAATAAAACTACGTAAAATGACTTCATCCAGTATTTGTGCTGGATAATGACCTCTATGCTTCTGATTGGCCGACAGGTGTTTTTCAGTTTTTCAATAACTTCAGGTTTAACTCTGGGTTTTCAGTCCTACGACAGTGGTTCACTAAAGCACCATGCTAACTGATGCTGAACCCCTAACCTGCTCCAGAGCAGGTTAACTTAGAGGATCAGATAAAAACCTGTCAAAAGCTAAACCACTGACCAACCATATTACTGGAAAAACTGAATCATCATTCCTACAGGACCCTGATGGGGACAAAAGAGATTTTCTTTTTTTCCTCTTCTTTCTCTCCTCTCTGCAGCAGAAACAGTTTAACATTAACTTTAACTGTTTTATCACATGTTCATAACAGTTTGTTCATCATCAGGCTGAAGAGAAGAATACTCTATAAGAAACTTTACAATACATCCTTAGTCTGACTTCAATAGAAATTATATTTAGAAATACATTTTTTATTGCAGTCATGTGACCATATTGTTTACAGTTCACCTTGCTGAATTTCACTTTATGACACTGCTATATGTGAGTTTACTGGCAGGAATCAGTGTTTCTTCACCTATCATGTTAAGTACTTTATTCATGGCTCTGACAATGTTGCTTATAATTAACAAGTCTGTACAGGTTATCATGACAGACAATGTTGTCAGACCTCTGATTGTCATCCCATTGTGTTTTAATATAGAACAGAATTGACTGTCCTGATGTCCTGGACTGATTAAAGGTGGATAAAGGATTAAAGAGGAGCTGCTTTCTTTTCTTAATTTTAATAATGGACACAGGCATATGAAGAAATGTATGACAACCAGACCCAGGACCTATGTTTACACACATTTATTCTATGTTTTTCTAGTGTTGTCTTTTACCCACAGAGGTGAGTCAGGTTTGATCCAGTTGACAGGGTCCAGGTGGTCTCATGTGGATTAACATGTTGTTGTTGTTGTCTGTCTCTGTATAACAGTCTACACGGACAAGATGAAGGAGATGTCCATGCTGTCTCTGCTCTGCTCCTGCTTCTATTCACAGCCACATCCTAACAGCCTCTATCAGTATGGAGGTAAGTCTTTCTGACTGTATGTCTGACTGTCTCTGTCTGTCTGACTGTCTGTCTGTCAGTCAACCTGACTGTCCGACTGTCTGTCTGTGTGCCTGTCTGTCTATACGACTGTCTGACTGTTTGTCTGTCTGTCTGACTGTCGATCTGTCTATCTGTCGCTCTGTCTGTCTGACTGTCTGTCTGTCTGTCTGTTTGTCTGTCTGTCTGTCTGTCTGCTCTTACAGCCTCTCTTATAGATCAAAACACAAACAACTTCAGAAAACATCAATTTGACAACACATGAGCTGCAAATATTCATAACACCAAATACACAAATGTGCTGTATATGTATTATAATACATCCATGTGCACTTGTTCAATGATTTTAACTTCTGGAAACACTTCCATTGTTGTCAGTGCTACTTACAGCATGTTTGTGTATTTGCTTGTGTTGTGAGTATTTGCAGCTCATGTGTTGTCAAACTGATGAAGATATTTTCTTCAGTTGTTTATGTTTTGTTTGTTTGTATGTGTTTTCTTAAGCTGCAGTGTGTTGAGCTCTCAGGGCAACCGTACTGATGCCTTTTGAATGGTGAAGAACAACAGAAAAGAAGGAGAGAGAAAGAAAGAAAGAAAGAAAGAAAGAAAGAAAGACAAACAAACAAACAAACAAACAAACAAACAAAAAAAGAAACAGCTCTCTAACTGGTGTCTCACCCTGTGACTCTGTGTCAGACCTGGAGGTGAAGGGCCTGAACAAGCGAGCCTCAGGACAGTCTTTTGAAGTGATCTTAAAGGATCCTGGTCAGTCTGGGGACAAAGCCCAGCCTCAGCCGTTACGGACGACTCCGAGGAGGGAGGTGTCCCTGGAGGAGCTGCAGAAGAGGCTGGAGGCAGCTGAAGAGAGGAGGAAGGTGGGTCCAGGGGGTCTTCTCATCAACAATAATTAATAATAACAATTAATCTCATTTTCCACCGCTAATTTTTTTCCCACTCTACTGATTCTATAATAGCTGTACATGTATAGTCCTTTTCTACTGCCTGGTACCAGCTCCACTGTACTGTTCAGTGAACATTATAGGTGTTACTTTTCCCTGTTTGGACTGAGCCAGGACAGCTGGTCCTCCCATGCTCCCAGTCTTTATGCTAGGCTAACTATAGCTGTGTTTCCATTAACCTGCTTACTATGCTATTTGAAATTATGAACTAAAAAACGAGTAATGGAAACATGTGAATTTCAAAAAAACATTTATACACTCAATGAGGTTGTTTTCAGACTATTAGACAACGCAATGTTTCACTAATGTGAAATGGAAACATTTTTTTATTTCAGTCACATGACCTAACATTACAGAATATTAGGATATGTAGTCGCTGGCAGATATGAGAGGTTTGTTTTCTGTCATTACCTGCACCAGATGCCCTTGTCACCTTCGGTTAAATACAACAGCTACTGCGGTGGATGTAATCGTCCCAATAATTAACAGATGCTGATAATCTGTCATCATGTTTAATTTGACTGATATCATGAGAGGAGAAAACCCAGCTTTATTCACAGAACATCACTCAGTGGAAACACAGAACATTCACAACTTTGTTTTGTCGACTTTTTCAAAAAAGATGCTTCTATTTTGCATAAAACTGCCATGGAAACACGACTCAGCTGGTTTGTGATATGCTCATGTCATATTGTTGTTGTAACTGTGAGCAGCCTGTTGATTGTTGTGTTACTCTGCAGTGTTTTGATCACAGAGGATGAAACTTCCTCCCAGATTATGACATATGTTCAGAGGTAGTTTCAGTCATCACATGTCCTGTGGCAGTGGTGAACTCCACAGAGCTCCACAAACCATGATGCTGACTCAGACTGGACTTTGACACATGCTGAAGACTTAGTGTACCAATTAAACATGATGATCTTGACAGTGATAGAGACATGATCAGCAGGGTGTGCACAGCTACACAACAGAGAAAGAAACACAACAGACATCTGTGACTCCACATTAATTAAGCATCCATCACCAAGTCACTGAGCAGGTTGAACTGTAAACAAGCAGCACAAAATGTGTTTCTGTTTTCAATCTAAAGATTCAAAGGATAATTCAGTGACTCACTGAGAAGATAATTATCCGAGGGAGTGTACAGAAACTCCAGTGGCTGGCAGGTTTTTATTTCAACAGCACAAGTCATAAATAGATTTCTGAAATGTACAAGTCATCAAATCAACCCTGCAGATAATATACACAACACACCTCACCTTAAAGAAGGTTCATTCTTTTCTTTCTGTTCTTTGCTCTGTTCTCTTTTCCCCACCCCCCAAAACCATGCTGTAGTCCCAGGAGGCTCTAGTGCTGAAACAGCTGGCTGAGAAGAGGGAGCACGTGCAGGAGGTCCTCCACAAGGTGCACAAGGAAAACAACAATTTCAGCAAGAAGACGGAGGAGAAACTCATCCAAAAGATGGAGGTCAACAAGGAGAACCGGGAGGCCCACCTCAATGCCCTCAAACAGAGGCTGCGTGAGAAAGCAAGTCTTCCCATACCCTCATCATTAATGTCATTTCATTTATCCAGGGTCCAGCTTTATTTTTATAGTCACACATCCAAAACAAACCAAATGAATCCTAGTTCATCAAATGATCAGAGTTTTACTCAACAATGTTGAATGTGGGAATGAAAAATATAGACAGTAATGTTTCTGCACCAAATTAAAGTTCTGGTCCTGAAAGGGAAATTGAAACAGCTGGTATGGTTCATAGACTGTAAATAAAGATGGACATAATGTCCATGACATGACCTACATGTGTCTGAAGAGCGGTTTTGAAGTTCAAAGATAGCTGCTTCACCATCTTGCCATCGCCATCTTGGGAGTGTCTGACTCCACCCCTAACTCCCAACTAATCCAAAAATGGTCAAAGAGGTGGGGCATGTGTGGAGCGGAGAGTTCTGTTCTTCCGATTTGTGGCAAGCATATACTCACCCACCTGTCACTCAAAGAGGCCACTCCCTCATTTCTACATAACTTGAAGCCTTAATCAAATGTAAACAGGTGAGTTATGTAAACAGTTGTCATGAAGGAGGAAATTAGCTCTAGAGCCCAAAACTGTTTTTGTCACCGGCCGGCCCATATAACTGGGGCAGCGACCCATTGGTTCATTTTTTCTTATGACACCAGACTGGCCCATTCACATCTCCTACTGTGCTGGCCCCACCCCTCCCTCTCTGTCCTCTCTGTGTCCCGTGTCCGCAGAGTTACACACCTGTGGACGAAGGAGGGAGATGTTCAAAATGGACAGACAGCAACATCAAAAACAGAAGAAGAGAGGTGCGGAGAAGCTGCGAGCAAGAAAAATAAAGAATTTACATGCAGAGGCCGTCAAGTGTGCCAAAATCCCACATATGTTTGCTTCAGGGGCCGCAACAGCCTCAACTTCTATGGCATCTTCGTCCAGCAACAGGTGAAAGGAGGAGAGCAGACAGAGGAGCAGGAAGAGATGCAGGAGTGTGACAGGGAAGCCGAGGAGCACAGTGAGCAGGAGGTCGAAGTGTGTAGTATAGTCGAAGTAGAAGCAGAAGGTAGCATGCAGGTAAAAAGGGACACTGAGGGAGTAATGTTAGGCTGTGTATGCCGACATGTTGATGATGATGCTGAGTAACGTTAATTCCATTCAAGTGGATGATAATAATAAGATAATGGTCTCATAAAGAGACCATCATCAGCTAACGTTCCTGCTGATGCTCACTCAGGCAATCAATGCCAAATAGCTTATTTGTTAGAGCATATATCATATCATATCATATCATATCATATCATATCATATCATATCATATCATATCATAATATTAACAAAGCCACATGACTGCCAGGGAGTCAGTCAAGAGTGAATGAGTAAACTGGTACACTTGCCCATGGCACAAAAAAAAACAGCTGTAGTACAGTACACATATTGAAGGGGACTGCAAAAGAGGTGTGGTGGGTGGTGTTCAACTGATTGAGAGGGGGCCAGTCTGGGCCAAAATTGCCATGGCCGATTTTTTGTCGCAGTCCACCCCTGGTCTCGGGAGATCTGATCACAGCTCTAAGTTCAGGTGTGAACACATCCAAGACACATTGAGGACGCATTTGAGATCTGATCACTCAGATCACATTCAGAGGTTACAGAATGTGTGCATGAATGTGTCCTGGGACATATTGAAGGACCAACTACCCTACTGATGTCCTTGTACCACCATAATTTATAATGAACTAAAGATATTTTACTATGTCAAATTGATAAATCTTTATTTCATTAGAGCTGTGAGCAGAGCAAAGATTCCCTCAACCCCTCTATACCACTCTGTCTCTTTCTCTTTCACACAAACAAAGTCACAACAGACCTGCCTGTCTGATTGTCTAAAGCACTTAGCGTGTTTATTTGCATATAAATTAGGGAAGTGAGATCTGATCATAAGTGGTCACTGGAGACATATTTTAATACCAGGTGTGAACAGACCAAAGTCTCACCACTCAGCAGTTATCTTGGTATCACCACAGGGCAGTTATTTCAGGCTGCTCCCCCCACCATAGGTGCGCACTGGTACTTAAACAAATAGCACTACATCTCTGCTGTCGAGTGGTCTGGAACCAGAAATAACAAGAAGACAGTCTGAGACTGACACAACCACTGCAGCAACACGGCAATAGATTGAGTGAGATTATTAACAATGTACTATTCGCTGTCCTCCACATGTAGCTGGAGTCATTTGATTTCTATTAGTAAAATGTATAGCTAACAGAAAAATGCAGAGGTCACTCTGACGCCATCTTCTCCACTTGGTGCTCACTGAAGCACCAAGCTGTATGAGTGAGGCTGGAGCTGCAGTGAGCAGTCAGGCTGGGACACTTATTGTTCAGAGCTTTGTGAAAATGAGCTAAATGAGCTGGGGTTGGGTTTATTTTAAATTTGTGACATTGTGAAAGTTTTAGTTGAGTATTTGCAGGATGTTTGTTTGTCTGGTTGTGTTGTGTATACTTGCAGCACACCTGTTGTCAAATCAATGAAGGTGTTTTCTTATTTTGCTTTTGTTTTGTCTGTGTGCATGTGTTTTCTTAAACTGCACTGAGTTGAGCTCTCAGGGCCATCGTACCCTTGGGCTCCAGTGACTCACTGTCACTAAATGGTATTATGAGACAGGGCTGGTTAGCATGCTAACTTCAGTAGAAGAAAAGATGTGATAGGTTAGTTAGGGCTGGGCAATTAATCAAATTTTATTTCCAGCGTGTTTGTATTCTTCTTCTTTGGCAATTTCGGATGGCTCTGCCTGATGCACGGATTACGATACAGCCACAATTGCAGTTACAAACGTCAAATCCACCGAGTACCAAGGAGGAGGTACGAAATTTGACGGAGGCAGCCGCCTCCCGATTCTCTATGCAGGAAAAACTCTACATTATCCAGCCGATTGTTCTGGGTTTGTTCTTAAAATCAGTCTGAAATGGATAGAGCATCATCTGAACTGTCGTTTAGAAATTCAGTTGCAGGTCGGGGGGGTGGGGTGGTATTGAAATTTTTTTTTTTTTTTTTTTCAGTTTTTTTCCAAAGTCAATGAGAAATTTTGCTGAATAATCGTGATTTCAATATTGATCAAAAGTAATCGTGATTATGATTTTTGCCATAATGGAGCAGCCCTAAATTTCAGTTACTTTATTTGTACCTGTAGGTTAATTTGGTTTGCAGTAAAGAGTCATCAGTGTTACAGAGACAGAAACAGAAGCAAAGCAAGACTGTGCACCACTGTTTACCTTTATCTCTGTGCACCATGACACAATTAGATTGTTATAATAAAGCCACTTCCAGTTTCTGCTTGTCTCCTACAGTGACTCTGACCCTGATTCAGTTTCACTTCTGATGAAATGCAGCATATTGAGTATTTTAAGACAAAATCTCTGGAAGCAGGAAACACAGCCTCTTGACTGTGGGCGTGGCAGCTGATCAGCCAAGTCTTAGTCTCATGTTTACTTCTCTTGATCTCAATGGGATTCACACTGACTGTCAAACACTGCTCAGACTGTGTTTCCTTTCCACTTCCAAATGAAAAGTCTCCCTTTACCCATCTTTCTGCAACCTTTTCAGATAGGAAACTTTGAGCGCAAAATATTTGTTATTTTCCGTTTTTGTTAGATTTTTATTCATTCACTTTTCAGAAGGACATGTGAGTGTGTGTTGTGATGCTGGTAAATAGCTAATCAGATGATTAGCTCAAACCAACAACCAGTGAATTCACCTGCCGTGGCAGCATATAAACTGGGACCTAAATGGACTTTGAATAAATTAAATACAGTTCAACTGAAAAATGAATGAAAATGATTTGAATGTATTTTTTCTTTTTTCTCTCTTAGAACAAATACACAGCAGGTCAGCTGTTGTTTGTTTTTCCTGCCTGTTAAAGTTGCCATAGATGTCATTTACCATGGCTGTGGTCAGTCACAGCAACAAACAGAGAAACAGGACCAAATATGGAAAAGTAACAAAACAGTGATGTGATGTAACCAAAACTATAGAACTCAGGGAGACATACAGTGAGCTGACCCTGGATCAGTGGACAGAAGGCTGGACAGGAGGAAAAGAGAGGATGTTATTATTGATTATATGTCATATACCTAAAAAAAACACAGTGGTGAAAACATTGTCCTGAGAGACTGAGCAACTTAATTTACATGAAACTTTACATAAAATGTGTGACACCTGTGTTCCCAGTGGTTGTAAACTGCAGTGAATGCTGGTTTGATGACTTTATGTCGCTGCATGCTGTTGGGTTCAGTTTTAGACACCAACAGCTCAGATCAAACAGGATCTGATCTGAGAAACAGGTTGGACAGAGCTGATGCTTCCTGAAGTTTCTGCATCTTTGTGTTTCTCAGCAGTCAACTGTATTTCTGCTGTTCACGTATAAAAAAATGTGGTGCCTCTAAGTTTCATGTTCCACTAAAGTCCTACCTTCTGTCATTCTTTAGTTGTCAGGTTTAACTTTGTTTCTTGTGTATCTGACAGTTTCTGTGTCTTACAGGAAGTCCACGCCGCTGAGGTTCGGCGGAACAAGGAGCGTCAGACCGACCTCTCCGGCTGAGGATGTTCTCTACTCTCTGGGTTCTACTTCTGACACTCTTCAAAGTTTTCACCATTATAATCCCACAGTGCACCTTTCAGGAGTTAATCAGCACCAAATACTGTTACACATCTGTTTCATTTGTGGTTAACCACACACACATCTGGAAGAGCAGAGTGTTGTACAGCTGAAATAAAGTCCAGTCCTTGGCCAAACAAGGTCGGTTATTCTGTTATTCTGAGTTTTTATGTTAAAATGATATTCTCTAAATAAGAAGTACACCTGACAAAGCACAGGAAAGATGAAATATATGAAAGCCTGGAGAGTCAACTAGATTTGTTTGTTTGTTTTTATTTTTGTTTTTTTTTCATTAGTTTTTCCTGTTTTCACAAATGGAAAAATGAAAAGAAAACTTGTGATCCTAGCAAAAAATCTAAGAATGCACCTGCTGTCAGGGCTTCCACAGATTTATATAATAAGGTCTGATCAAATATTAGTTTGAGTGAACAGGTGAGATTCTGTGTGTGTGTGTGTGTGTGTGTGTGTGTGTGTGTGTGTGTGTGTGTGTGTGTGTGTGTGTGTGTGTGTGTGTGTGTGTGTGTGTGTGTGTGCTGAACAACAAGTAAACAACAGTTTAGCTTGTAAAAGTAGCAAAAACAGAGAACAAGGCTCAGGTTTAAAATATTATGTTTAACGATAATTAGATAATTAACACAATTCACTTTATTACCATCACTGCAATTTTACTTCAGTCATGAGCTGGTGGAAGGTAAATTAATGTCTAACCCATACAAATATGTATGGGTATGCTTATATTGTAGATATACTGTATTTTACATAAATATATATCCTGCTAAAGCCTGTTAGAATATGTTGATATTATATACAGTTGGGTTCAAAAGTCTCAGATCATTTTCCTAGAATAGGGAGATAGACACATTGAAATGAATGAGAAATCAATTAAAAAAACATTTACAAAACATTAGAATTTTATGTCATTTTAATAAACTCTTGTATATATAAATTAAATATGTATTGATAGCATATTTGCTTGCAACATGTTATACCATATAAATTCATTTTTAATATATAGGCTACAAATACAATTTTAATATGGGTATTTCATATAAGTTGTAAACTTATATCTTCACATATCAGAGAAGATGTGTGTGTGCAATAATAATATATCCTCTTATTGGTGACATATATGGCAACATCACTCAAAAGGAGTGAACAAATGATATTTTCTGCACCAGCGTCAAGAAAATGAAACAAAAACGGGTGAAACGACCCTGATGTCAAACTTTCCCTCTCTTTGACAAAGTGTCGTTAACACTTGTGTAATGACAGTCAGCAACAGTGAAGAAGAACAGAGGAACATCCTGACTGAGCGGGCACCTGCAGGTTCACAGGGAACCTAACATGAGCAAGCACCATCTTTTTAACAACTGTGCGTGCGCGCGCAGTGTGTCGTTTGACAGGGTGGGGGCCACAAAACGCATGCTTATCATTCTAACCTGATGCTGACGCAAAACATGGGAAACGAAACTTAAATGAGCCAGTCCCACCCCGGTGATCAGACTCCCGCCTATTTGACGGGCTCCAGTTGTGTTCCGGATCAGGGAGGTGTTATATTAACTGCACTCCGAGACCTGATCAGACCAGATCAGCCGCAACATGGATGACCTCAATTAGACCAGCGTATCTGACGGTAATTATTATTATTTTTGTTATCTTCAAACATGTTACTATAATTATCATTATCATTATTATTATTATCACCATTATTATTATAGTCTTGTTGTTGCCATTCTTCCTCCTCTTCCTCGTCTACTTCCTCTTACCAGTAGTAGTAACAGCAGCTGTCAAAGTAAACCTGAGTGACAGTTGCTGTCATGGCCGATATTAAGTGTCCCGACAGCTGATCACCTGCAGAACATTTTATTTTACTATAAAAAATTTAGTGTACAATGTCTAGTTCTTCATCACATCCCGGTCATTATAGGTCATCTGAGGACTTCAGTCTGTGGGTCTGTATTACTGCCTCTGGTTGCTCCTGTTATTTTGTTTAAAACGCGCAACTACGCCATCTGCTGGACCTTAGATGTAAGTTCTGCAGCACCTCGTTCCTGACCTGCTGTTATTAAAGACATGAAGGATCAACTGTGATTTTAATGAGCTTTCATATCAGCTGACTTAAGATACTTAGAGTCACCCTGCTACCTCAAACGTTCATTTTGAACTTTAATTGCAAAATAATTTAAAAAATGGAAGCCTTCACCTTCACCTCCCTCCAGCTGCCAAAGTGACCTGTATACTGAGATCCAATCACAGTGAGAACTTATCAATACCAGGTGGAAATAGAGGTGGAAATACTGAAGTACATTTTTTGTGTCAGTATTTTTGTATTGTTCCACATTCACAGAACCTGATGACTCTGAAACAACCTGAAAGACCCTGTAGAATAAACAGAATATGATACAAAGCCATAAAAACACAATTGAATCAATCAAAGGAGTTACTGTCGTTTTCAGTTTTCTTTTTTTAATCAGTGATGAAGTCTGGTCGTGGTAAACACAGCAAACATTTCAAAATAAATGAATCTTTCTTTATTTCTAAACCTTCAAACACAGACCTCAGATCAGACCATGGTCTCTGGTGAAGAATCTTCTGCCTCATCGACACTGACAGGTTCAAACATGACTGACAGTGGAGGAGTTGATTGTGATTGGTTTTTCTCCACTTCACATTTTCAAAATAAAATAAAATTGATTAACTGACTAAAACCTCTGCTTCAAAGTAAGTATTTGCAAAAACTAAAGAGAGAAGGTGGAGAAATTATTTTTCTCCATGAAACACATTTGAGCAAAATGGAACATGCAAGATTAGAGAAATTAGCCTTGGCACAAGTGTTCTCTTCTTCATATACATCAGCTATAAGGGGAGTGGCAATCCTTATCAAAAACAATCTTATGTTTTGTAAAGAAAAATGTATCAGGGATAAAGAAGGAAGATATGTTCTTATAACTGTGGAAATAGAACAACAAGAAGTAGATCTCCTGAAAAGAATCCTATCTTTATTAATGACGGAGGTAACTTAGTAATGAACAAGAAATTAGACTCTCAAAGCAGCAGGATTATTGAGAAAAGCCTGAACAGATTTAGGACTATTGGAAGTTTGAGAGGGTCTTCACAAGGTCCATCCGAGATTAGATTATTTCTTTATACTGAAAACTGAGATCTCAAAGGTAATAAAATGTTATAATGCTGATATTACCCATTTGCACAGCATGCCATGCACCAGTTATAATGGAACTAAACTTGAAGAGGGAACAAAGGGAAACTGCATGGAGGCTAAACAACTCCTTGCTTCAAGACACGTGTTTCAAAGAGAAAATAAAACGTAGCATGAAGTCTTATTTTGAAATAAACGATAATGGAGGGGTGACGTCTATATTATTATTGGAGGCTGCAAAAGCAACAATACAAGGAGAAATAATGGTATACTCATCTTGGAAAAAGAGGCAAAGAGTAAGAGAAAAGACAGAATTGGAAAATAAAATAATTAAATTGCAAAAGGAACATGAAAAAACGATGAACAAAATGTACAGACACAACTAAAGGGAGCAAAAAAAGAATTGGAAATGATAGAACTACAAAAAATAGAAGAAAATCTCATGTCCTGTAGGCAAACCTAGTATGATAATATTCGAAAGCGTTGAAAAAAGAAAAAGAGAGAAAAGTCCACAATAACCACCATCATGGACAAAAATCGGAAAAAGCATCATGTTTCAGGGATTATTACCAAAACCTCTACAACACAGAAATAGAAGAGACAGATTTACAGAAAATTAAAAAGTATTTAGAGTTGTTAAACCTCCCTGCAATGACTGATAAACAAAACAACGATCTAGTAAAACCAATAGTTGAGATGGAAATTCTAAAAAATCATTCAGAAAGGCAAAACTGGAAAAAGTCCGGGAAGTGATGGATTTACTAATGAATTCTAGTTTTCAGTAAGGTCTTACAAACAGGACACTAGCCAGAAACATGGAATTCAGCAATCATCACTCTAATGGCTAAAGAAGGAAAAGTCCCTCTTAAATGTAGTTTAAAAGTTATTAACATCAATAATACCAAATAGACTCTCACATATACTGTACTTCCAAAAATAATTAACTTAGACCAAACAGGACTCTTCAAGGACCGTCTTTTAAGTGATAATGTGCGACTCACTCTCACCATCATTGACTATGCAACAAGAATGAAGCAACAACTTGCTTTATATGCAGATTATATTATGTTGTATTTTACAGATAATTCTCTGACTGTGTTACTAGATGAAATTACAAACTATGGTGCTTATAGCCTCTCCGGCTATAAGCTAAACTTAAATAAAAATGAAGCTATGGAAGTTGGTGGCCATTTGGAGGAAGCTTTTTAAAAAATAAAGTAAAATATCTAGGGATAAATATACCAAATAACTTCGATAATCAATGTCACTGGAATTACAGAATTTTGGAGAATTCAGTAAAACAAGACTTGAATAGGTGGAAAATTTTACCTTTAACTTTACTTGAAAAAATTAACATAATTAAAATGAATATTCTACCACGTTTCCTATTTTTATTCCAGAATAACACATGCAACCACATGCAGTACTTTGATTTTCTCAGGTCATAAAAAAAAACACAGATCAAAATAGATAATTTCTCTGTATACAACACATTTAAAATCTGGAGAAGAATATGCAAATTAATCAAAGTCAAGGAACAAGAAACAGTTGGTTTAAGAGGAATAGCATGGGACCCAGATTTTACTCCAAACAGCTTGGACGATGATTTTAAGGTATGGGAAAGTAAGGGACTCATAAGGTTTTATCAAATGTATAGTGAGGGAATGAGTGTGAATATCTTTGAAAATATAGCAAACACATATGCTCTCCCCAGAAGCCACTTCTATCGATACTTGCAAGTTCAAATTAGAACTGATGGAGACCTTCATCCCCTCCTGAGATACAT